TGCTATCTGCATTTGTTACATTTTGGTCTTAAAGTACTATTATTGATTCTTATGTACATTTGATCATTTATAAATTAATTAAACTAATAATTAATAAATTTGACATTAAAATGGATGCATATACTCTACATTTATTGATGAAACTTCGAAATGCAAAGGATCGCAATGAGATAAGCGATGAAGAGTACTATATCCTAGAGAAATCGATCTTGGGCAACAGGACCACGAATCGCAATGATAAGGAATATGCCAAATCGACGAAGACGCATCGCTCATGGACATGGAGCTGGTTAACGGTAATGCAGGAGTTGAGATTACCACTCATTTACCTTTCGATTGTTCTGTTCGCGATCCAGTACTTTATCAAAGGTAATTATGTACAGATATTTATTGAACTATTATATTTGAATGTTGATGTGTTTTTTCAAAATTCAAAGAATATCGTCACCCAATTTATACACGATCAGCCGTCAAGTGACGTTGTACTGAACTAATAATATAATAAACTAATAATTCTTCAATTTAGAACACGACACAAAGGATTGGTCGTACTGCGATGCATTGATGAAGAAACAATGCCAAAACGGCGGCATACTCGTTCAGAATAAAGGAGTGTTCACGTGCCAATGTCCGCGTGATTATTACGGGGAACTATGTGCCGACGGTAATATCGATCGTACACTATCGTTTGGTCAACAGCCACATACACGTTCACAAGACGTTCGGCTCCAAGTGTTTTCGGCGGCGAATATTCAAAAAACTATATCGTTTTTTTTTTTTTATCCGTTGCAGAGCGATACTTTTCAATTGTTTCCCGGCTGATAGGCGGTGCTTGGTTCGACGGTGCGAACGAAGACATACGAAGAGGCGCGCCTAAAACGTGGTGGTGGCAGTCCCTTTTTTCGACAACTGATCCTGCGGAACGGTATCAGAAAACCGTTATCTCGTGTAAGCATAACAATCCGTCGCACTCGCGGCAACGAGGCCAAGGTACATGTACGTAACAGTTCAAACGTTGTGATTTTCAGTCCACCAACAGCAACTGAAACGGATAACGGACGACTGGGTTTCGACGGACGGCACCGAGAACGACATCCTAGTCTCGTCGACGAACTCCAGCAGGATATTACTGCCCAACCGTCCGTTATATTGTCCCGTCAACGGTAAGTATAATATTCATATAACTATCAGAACCACAATAGTGACCAGTGTGTACCGTCCGCAGAGAACTTGCCACCGTTGAACACGTTGTACGACCAAGTGTTCAAGCGGGAAAAGGACGGTGGTTTGACGCAGGACCCGAAACGGCGGAATCTGCTGTACCGCACGTTTTACCAGTACTTCGTCATGCAGTTTTTCGGAAAAGATTATGATTCGACGGTGACGGGCTCTCAGCTGTACGGGAGCGACGGGGACGCGGAGAAAAGGCTCAGGTCGATGGCCGGCGGCAAACTGAAGACCGAGTACATGGGCGGTGAATTGTATCCGTCGCGGTTGTCTTTCGCGGAGAAGATCCGGAAGGTGTTCACCCGGACGCCGGTAGCCGATCAACAGCACTGGGTAAGCACCACATTTATTAGGACGAACGGCAATGTTTCCGATCGTTTAACAACCGATTTTACTCGTGTATTGCGTTCGGCGGCTATAATAACAGTACAACCAAGCGGTGACCGTCGGCCAACCACCGCGGTCGGTGTTCGCGGACGTTTACGGGGCCTTACGCACCCAGTGGGCAGTGGCAAATCCGCTGTTGGGCGAGGACCCGCTGCTGTTTGCCATGAACACGTTATGGGTGCGTGAGCACAACCGCGTGTGCGACTTACTGACGACCCGTTGGCCCGAATGGACGGACGATCAGCTGTACGCAGTCGCCAGGAGGACAGTGGTCGCACAGATGATGGCCATCATGATGAACGAAGTGTTGCCCGCGGCCAATCCGTTCACGTTGAAATACGACCCAGAGTCGTACCGCGACGTACTTCTGAATACCAGTACCACTGCTAAAACGCCGTTGGAGTTGTTGTTGACGACGTTCTTACCGTCCGGTCTACCCGACGGTTTAGACGACACTAGGTCAGTTTGATTGGATATCTCTGTATACTGATCCTACCCTCGGCTCGTTTCGATGAATTATCACAGGCGCATAATGTGCCTATACCATCCGACGACACGTGACGGTTATAATATTATATTTCATTTGCAATGGATATTCATTAAAATTCTTTGTCGAATTGGGTTTGAGTCCTACATCCATATGTCGCCTAATCAACGACTAGAACAAATACCTACCACTGTTTTCTTTAAATTGGATTCGATTCTTAGTTTTTTCAATAAATAAATAATAAAAAAAAATTTAAAAAAATTATAATTGATTTAGGTATAATAAATAATTAAATTTTATAAAAATAAAATAGTAAGTAACGATTTTATTGAATTTGTGTACACCTGACGATGAATTTTTCGAAGTCGGTCGTAAAAGTGTAATAACACTCCAGGCTATTTCTGTATACAAACTATTTGTGTGTTTATGTATTAGTTTTTTAGTTTTGAACGATTTCGATGGTTTTTAATTTTCGATTAACATTTTCAGGCAAATATTAGCGAGTGGTATGACTGAAACGGTTAGATTTATGGTCGATCAAAAAATGGGATCGTTGACTAGCAACAATGACGGCGATGCGACGATGCCGTTAACAAAATTACTGATCAAATTATCCCGGGAAAATAGGATAAAAGGTTTTAACGATTATCGAAGACATTTCGGATTACGAGCCTACAAAAGCTTCTACGAGCTGACCGAAAACCACGAAACGGCCAATAAGTTGGTATCGTTGTACGGAGATGTCGATAACGTAGAGCTGTTGACTGGAATGTTGACGGAAAAGAAAAGTGACAATGTAGTTCCCACGTTCACGGTCATGATCAATAGTTTTATAGTTAATTCGATCATCATAAATCCTCTGGGTAGTAAAGACTTATGGAATGCAGATACGTTTGGAGGGGAATACGGCTTTGACTTAGTAAAATCTGCCAACATTAAAACATTTATTTGTAACAATCTGATCGATAAATGCGACAGTAATTTTACTGTCGATATTTATGCAAAATAGGTTTCAACATTTTTTAAAGAGTTGAAATTTTGTATAGGTCTTATTCTTTTTTTGATATATGCAAATTAATTTATAATTGTAAAATCAATGATCTTTATTCAGTTACATATTTAAGTTTAGTCCAAGTAGCCATTTTTTTTCAATTACAATACCTGACGTATTTTAATATTACAGGGTGCGGCAGGCAAATCCGACGATTTGAAAAAATAAAAAAAAATAGAAAAAATTTTTTTATTAATTTTTCGCCGAACAAATAAAAAGTACACAAGTGGAATTTTATGTTATATATTTAAAAACTTCATTTTTAAAAGACTGTGTCGGGCAAATGCCATCCTTGGTTAGCCACACATTGTGAGAGTCTGACACCGAAGCTTCCCACGTCTAACTTGTTCATCGGACTTGACGGCTCTTGATTTTTTTCTTTGGGGTTATGTGAAATCCAAGGTGTTCGAAAACAACCCACTAAGGACTATTGTTGCCTTGAAGGAGCGAATTCACCTTGAAATCAATAAAATAACCTTGGAAACACTTCACGACGTCATGGGAAGCTTCGGTGTCAGACTCTCACAATGTGTGGCTAACCAAGGAAGGCATTTGCCCGACACCATCTTTAAAAATGAAGTTTTTAAATATATAATAATATATAATTATATATATAATTAATAAATAATTATAAAATTCCACTTGTGTACTTTTTATTTGTTCGGTGAAAAATTAATAAAAAAAATGTTTTCTATTTTTTTTTATTTTTTCAAATCGTCAGATTTGACTGCCGCACCCTGTATAATATACTAAGTAATCGGAATAGTCCAGCATGTTTTACCGATGGAAATATATTCATATATAAATATGAATCAATGTTATTGACGACTATGTATAAGACTCTTAACAGATGATAGAAATATGATCACATTAATTTATCGCAAGAATTACAAAAAATATAATTGGATTATACGATCGTGGCATACAAAGAACATAACGTTATAAGTTACAATCATTGAACCAAAAACGGCTGATGAGGTATCTTCCCAATATTAGATATTTTATCGTTTACATATTGTCATAGAAAATACATACATTTAAATATACGAGGACACTGATACTAATGTGCTAATTTTCGTTAAAATTATAGGTTTATAAGTTGAAAAGAAAACCAGAATAAAACAAATGTGATGAGTGTCTGATGAAGTAAAAGTTATCTAAAAGTATTTTCTTACAGAAGGTTGCATAAGTTGTATGATATCATTCAACTCGAATAGTAACATCTGTATGACTAATTCACATGGATTAACTCATTTAAAATTAGTACAGTAACTTATATATTATAAAAAGCATTGTAGAAAAATAGAGGATAAGCATGTATAATAAACATTATAAATATTTTTTCAGATTCAGCAAAACTATTTTTGACTTTTTAGTTATGAACACTATGAATAAGTTGAATAATATGACATGTGTGAAGATGCCTCCCCACATTGTCTAATTTTCCCCAAACCTCAACCATTATTTTGAAAATAATTTGAAAACATTTGAAAACCAGTTTTCAGAATTTGTAAACCTTTATTTTATTTATAAACATAATTTCAAATACTTTTCATATTTTACTTGTGAAAATTATTAATTGCATTTTTTTACTGTGATAGTTATACAATTGAAATTTCTAATATATTTTAAAATTACTATAGGACTGTGGAATATTCTTCGAACATACAAATTAATGCACATGACAGTAAAAAGAAATCAAAATGGAAAAAAAGAATTGTAAAGCATTACTTGATGGATATGAATAAATTGCTAATGAAAAAATAAATAAATAAATGTTTAAAATTTTTGTTATTATATGATAATTTAAAATCATAGCTAAATTATCTTAAATTAATTTAACTACTTCATATTTGACTTTGATAAAACTGAGTTAAAAACAGTCCTATGTTTTTAAAATTTGATGACCTCTACATACCATCTCAATATCTTCTTATGTCCAGTGTCTCTCCCAAGATCCACCTCTATTTTAAGTGATGATCAAAATTGATCTTGGTCTTGCGGTCTCGCAAGACTCTTGCTGTAAGGCCAAGACCAAGATTAGGTTTGCGAGAACAAGAACAAACCAATACCGAAAATGCAAGACCAAGACCAATATAAGACCATCACTGCAAGACTTGCAGTTTTGCAAATTTTTTTTTCCCCAGAAAACACATTAGTTATCTAGATTTCATTATCTAATAATTTATGACGAAAATAATGGTCTGTAAGATTTGAAAGATTTGGTCTTGGTCTTATTTTGATCATCACTATCTATCTCGCAGTCAGCTAAGTAGGTATTCCTGTACATAAGTGTATCATAATGTCTGTATCCTCTAACAGTAAATGTTTGAGTAGAGAGAACATTTAAAAGTTTGAACTGTTCACAACAACAGTAGTGCAACTTTGATAAAAAAAAAAAGCTATTCAGGATGCAGATTTTTCAGTTTTCGTTTAGCATGAATAGTTTCGGAAAAGCATCTCCTCGTAGATAAACTATAAAACTAAATTACATCAAGTGTGATTGATTTCAGAGTTTTTATTATTTTAAGCGTTTATGCCTTAATGAAATGCGTTGCGTATCGGATTGAATATAATGTGCTGGCGCGCATGTTATGTGTTCAAAGAGTCTGTAATCTTAAGGACAAAAAAAACTATAAAGTTTCACAAAACAGCCTCGTAATATTCTTTACTATAGAGTTTACATCTCTCGAATATATATTTTCGTTTTTCAATCAATGTCATGCGCGATCATTTTCTGTTTGACGTTTTGGCATTGGTAGTGGTGATCGTCGTCGTGCTGTTACCGTATTGTTCCGTATCCCATTTGGTTACCTGAAAAACAAATAAAAAATATCAATTTAAATTGGAAATGAATAACAACGGAACACTGTAACAACACCGTATTTTCCGTAGACAGAATTGTTCGTTGAAAACAGAGAGGGTGATGACGCGGAGACGAATCCGCGTACTCCTATAACGGGAACGACGTTTGTCACGCAGTGGTGATGAGGAGCGAAGACCGGTGAGTGACGTTCAATCGTATTAATCTAACTATTAAACCGATCGGTGTACGGAAACGCGCGGCAGAAACGGAACTTTCGAGACCAGTGGCGCAACTTACGGTGGGGTTTGGAGGTTGTGAGCCCTTCCTCGAAATTTTTCTGAGGTTTTTACAAATTCTACGTAGAAAAAAAATAGTTTATCTTGATGACGCAAAATGGCTGATTGATATGAAAATGAATATTATTCGTATTATAATTGATAACAATGATAACATGACAATATGGAACGTTCTGTAATGTTCTGTTCAACTTAAAAACATCAATAATCTTGCTACTACGATTTCTCGATAGTCGATTGTATAATACTTTTAATACTTATTTTTGTGGTATAACAATATGAAATAGAAATTTAATTTGTAATTTAAATATTTTACTGATAAACCTAAATTAATCTTACTTCCTCATCCCTAACAAACACCTACAAAAAATGCTTATTTTTTCCAGGTTTTACAGTCGGGACGGCATATGTTGGCAAGGGCCCGCGACGACACCGGCGCGATAAATCTGACTCCACGCACGCGCACCACGTTTATCCGCGACGGTGTGATGGTAATGATTTCACGGGCAACATCACCGGGCATCAGGTAAAAACGTGCGTAAGCGACGGTTCCGCAGGATTTGTATCTAAATACTTATCCCTCGCGGAGTAAAAGCCCGAAGAAAATGACCGTCGTGTGGCGGTCGCATAAATCGTCCGATGGTCAGAGAAGGATTTACCCTAATTTCCCGGTACTACACGCCACTTTTTTATTTCCATGCGTGTGTGTGACCTGCTGGTACGGAGAAAGAAATAAGCATTACCGTTTATATAATGTATTATTTGTGTCGGAATGCAAAACACATTTACACCGATTGTCGATAACATTTCGCACACGATTTACGATATTATTACGGCTGCACACGAATTGCGTCCCGTAATAGAAAAATCCATAAGCAGGTACACGAATCACGTCCCGAGTTTTCTAGGTGACTACACGGATTGCGTTCATCTTTATCTGAACAACTACATGATAAACATGAAAACAGCCAATTAACTCGTCCCAATTTTATTAAAAAGATTTAATCTCTTACTCATAATTTTTTAAATATAAAATTAATCTTTTAATTTTTTACATTTTTTATCATAATTATAATTTTTTTCTCAAATAGCAAAACCGGATACATACTGCTATAAGATTGTACACGTTTTGTGAGTACCTGCAGTGGCGTATTTAAGAATTTTAGTCGGGGGGAGGGGTTAAAATTTCAAAATTGTTCATAATAATCACGGATTATATAAAGTCAAATACACAATTATATAGGTAATAATAGGTAATTAATTTCGGTAAACGAAAATAATAAAATAAATGATACAATATCGTATTTAATATTATATATGTATAGTATTATCAACTTGTTACATTTGCTTAAAAAATGTTTTATTTTTATATAAATACTAAAATTTACTGTGGTGAATTGTTTTACAAACTTACAAAATTACTCTTAACAATAATAATTATATATAATTTCATGGGCCTATCTTTTTCTGCAAATTTGTCCATAAAGTCTTGTATTTGAAGTTTTTCTAAAATTTCTTTTTCAGTGAGTGCCAAAATCAATGACTTGCGTCTTTACTGTGTCATCGTTATTCTTAATTTACTTTTTACCTAACATTTAAAAACAACTTTGTTACTAAATGTATCATTATACATGACATAATAAAATTAATTTGTTACCAAAGTTAATTTAGAAAAGTTTCTCTCCACAGAAGCTGTTGTCACAGGCAAGCATAAAAAAATTTTAAATGAGATAAGATAATTAAAGCTCCATAAAAAGTTCAGCTGCCTTGTTTGGCTGTAAATGTTCGGTTGCGAAGTAAGAACGTATTAATAAAAAGCAGAGTAATGGAAGAAACTTATTTATCTTGTAAAGAAGACCATCGTGCCGTACTTAATCAGAGGTAACATAAAAAAAAAGAAAAAATCCAGAATAGTATTTTTATTTTCAAATTAAATTATGATTTTATCTATAAGCCGGTAGACTTAGTGTACAATTTAATAGTTGGTCCTAAAACTAAATTGAGAGTGGAGAATTATATCATGGGATTTAATTTTTGGCCTGACTTTTTTTAAACTGTTTTTTTTTATATATTTTTCCTTAAGTAGGAAGAAAAAATATTGGCCTATAGGAGAATTTTTGTTTGTGAGCTTTGTAAATGAGGATTATTATGAAAAACTTTGATGTTAGAGCGAAATAAAAAAATCTTGACGTGGAGTTTTAAATACATTTTAGAAGCATTATTATTTTGTTTGATAATTGTTCAAACATTTTGTTGAAAATTATATTATACCCGATTTCCCTATTAATAATGTATTAATTATCTTGTTTGAATATTCGGATTCTGGGCTCATGTTTGGGTAAGAATAAAATATTTTAAATTGTTATTTTTATCTATCTGAAATGCATATGTTTCAGCCCCGAATAGTCACTAGTTTATTTTATACTAGTTTATTTTATTTTATACAGGATCAAGGTCGTATCTAAACATTTTTTTTTTTGGAAAGGTTCAAAACATGTATATTGTAATTTTATTGAATTAAGATTTTAACTTTTGATATTTAGTTAAAAATAAGAAAGAAAAATATTTAATCTTCTTTTATTAAAATTAATATCATATTTACATATGATATTATGATATTAAATTAAAAGCAGTCAATGATTAATTGGAGCTTAAGTCATTTTTGACTGAAAATATTGAAGTTGGTATTAAAAATAAATAAGTATTTTAAACATTCATAAAATGTTAAAGACATTTCGGGGGAGAGGGGTCCAGACACCCTGGATCCCCCCCAGATACGGCATTGTACAGGATATTGTATTCTAAATATTGATTTTGTTTCCATAACTTTTTCTATTACAATTATCTTAAGGTTATGAAGTTAAGAATAAAATATCTAAGAACCAAAGTAAATTATATCATTAAGTTTATTTTTCTAATAAAAGGTAAGCTATTATTTGTTATAGAAATATAAAAATTAGACATTTAGAAAAAAAATACTAAAACCTAAATAGATCAAATTATAGTACGAAGATAAGGTAAAACCATTCTGAACTTAACTCTTGTGGCCCATTCACAAAAAAAAAGTCCTGGACACGCCACTGCAATTGTATTAGAGATTTCTTGCCATGGATATGCAATTTACTAAGCTACTACTACTATCTTTTTAATAAAGAACTTAACGTGCCTATAACCATTGATTATAGACGAAACAATTATTTAATACAATATATAATACAATTATAGTAAAATAAATTATGGCGTGCGCTTTACATTCTAAAATTATTTATGGACCATAGACGTGGCACGGGAGAGTTTTGGGTTCGTATGTTAATTATCAGTAAAATGTCAATTGCCGTAATAATAAGTTCACCGCGCCACTGGCTCTAGATGCGCTTATGTGTGCGATGTTCCGCACTCCGGTGACAATGGAGGAAAAACGACCGAACCGTAAACGGCGTCTAACGACTTTCGCATTGCGAAGGTGACGGCTCGTTTTTTCGATTTAGACGCTGTGACACCGTTTCGCTAAGTTTTTGGAAATCAATTTCCCGGCAAAATGTCCGTCTAAGCGGAACACGTATTATTATTATTATTATTATTATTATTATTATTATTATTATTATGTAATGTATTATACCACACGTATTTTATTGTCGCAAAAATATATGATATATAAAATAAATGAAATAGAAAAATGCTACTTTTATATTTTAATGAATTTTAATACAACTATTTATTTAGAAAAGAAAGATGCTACATAAGAATTTATTGTCTAATGTGAGTTGTTTAGTAACAGATCCCAACATACACTGAAAGGATGATATTTAAATTAAGTAAATAAAATTCATATATAGTGAATATATGTATTTTAATTTAATTTTTTTTTTTTAATTTGTCCGTTAAGTCGTAATATTTAAAAATAGTCAATCTATTATGTTTTTACTTTACTTAGGTGCATTTTAAACGTATTTATATCACTTATAAGGAGATTTTGAAATCGTTTTTAAATTATTGTGCAAGTTGAATTAAACTAATTATATTGTATAATTGATGTACGTAAACAACTTCAATGATTTGGGTAAATAGTTCTTTACCTCTTATGGTTTGCCAATCCCTGTGAAAATATACATTTTTTTTTTAGTCATGAACTCCTACGCTAAAGGGGGAAAAGATTATTTCAATAACAAATTTTTTCATATAGTCTTATAACACCTGTGCATATAGTTTGTGTGACTTGCATGTTTAACGTGTTTTTGATTCAGCTATGATAAATAAAATTAAACCAGGAATTCAATAGTAGAATATGAATATTGAATTAACTTCATAGTGCTTAGAAATCAAGTACACTGAACATAAAATACGATTATGTTTACTATTAAGTATAATAATACAACAATGCGTAAAAAAAGATTTACGTGAAACTTTTTTAGACTTTTGACAGCTACATTATTCCATCAGTATATTCGAAAAATTTTCATTTTTTTCTTTGGAAGGGTATGATTTCCTAGGTTTACGTACATACTACTCTTTACAATAAAAGTTTATCTACTCATTGATTATGATTGATAATACATTTTATAAAAATACCTCTCCAAATATCATATCTGATGCAACAAGTTCTACTATCAGATACGATTAAAAACTTTTAGGAAAAATGTATTATATACATATATGTATACCAGAAAATTTATATTACAAAACATTATTTAAAATATTAAAATTTTATTTAT